ATAACCACACTGTATAGGGATTCCAAGAGTGACTGGTGGGTTTCAACTGTTGACTTTGTGGCTAGTTGTTGTTGTTAAGTGCAATCGAGTCGGTTCCGACCCATAGCGACCCTGTACAGGGTTTCCGAGGGTGTAAATCCTTACGGGAGTAGAAAGCCTCTTCTTTCTCCCGCGGAGCGGATAGTCATCCAAATAGTCTACAATATTATAAACAGGCGATACAAGGAAGATAAATGGTTTCCTTTTTTCTCCATTACTGATACATGCTTGTGGAACTCCTTCAAAAGTTCTCGTGTGCCAAAAATTTGGAGCAAGCATTTTCAAAGTATTTTTAACATCTAAAATACATATGTTGTTGTTGTTAAGTGCCATCGAGTTGGTTCCAACCCATAGCGACCCTGAACAGGGTTTCCGAGGCTGTAAATCTTTACAGGAGCAGAAAGCCTCATTTTTCTCCTGCGGAGCAGCTGGTAGTTTCAAACTACTGACCTTGCGGTTTGCAGCCTGATTTGTAACCACTACGCTACCAGAGCTACCTTACTGTAAACTAGCTAATTGTAGCAAAGAAATTTGCATATGGTCAGATTCTCACAGATCTTGACTAAAAGCATTTTATCAACGAAGTATCAAAAATGTTATCACAACTACAGTTCTTCTGCAATAAAGTCCTGACTCAGTCTGATGGACTTATTACTAACTGGCCTCCTCATTGTACAAAAACATTAATAATAATAAAAGACTCTGACCTAGAATCTGCTGCCCCTGTAAGCTGCTCCTGTAATGAAGCAGCTCACGTGAAAATCAACACCTAGAAATACTTTGAATTTAGACTTTTTATTGGAAGCCATGGTTTTCTTTTTAAGTCTTATACATATAGCCCATGTTTCCCAATGATGTATCCAGTCGTTTCTATCCTTGAGCCTTGGTTCCAGGGTTCTAAAGAGATCCCATTCATTAAAATGGATCCTGGAGTCCTGATGTGGCACTGGGGGACATTGCACTGGACCTAAAGGACAGCAACAAAATGGATCCTGGAAACTCTTCTGCCACCAAATAAATCTTCTGTACTCTGACCAGCCTATATTTTAAGGCAGACTCCTTAAAATGGCTCCTCCAATGTTTTTCTAATTATATATCAGACTATGGATGATGATTTCTTCTTGTTTTCATTGATAACAATACCATTTTACAAAATACAAGATTAGTAAACCCTCCCCATTGTGAGCACAACATGGAAACAAATATTCACACCCCCATATAAACTGTAGCATGTGAGGGAGGGCCTGAGAACACGGCTTTCAACACAAGATGGTAAATAGCCATGCAATCTTAAGTCTTAAACAAATGCAGTATTTTTACTAGTTTTGACAGATCATGGATCCACTTGCTTTTGTTGATGGCCTCTTTCATACTTATTCAATTCTTGATCATTCCAGTTCTAAGGAAAAAGTGCATTTCTGACACAAAACTGATGATACGGTGAAATGAGTTTCCAATTTTCCAAAAGTAAATACCTGGGTCTCATGATGCATTTCAAGAAGCCATAATGATGGGACGATGCTAGTCAAATACAAAAAAATGGCTGGTGAAAACCTGTGAAAAGGAGGGAAAAAAAAAAGATAGTTCAGCTTCAAAGAAAAATTGAAAAAGAGAAACAAATGCGCATACCCAGAGCACATTGAGTCAAAGCCTTTTATCTTAAGTGTTTATTTCCATGGGATGGGGGAAGCATTATGTGATTTCTGCCATATGGATTGTAGAGAAACAAAGTAACTGTAAAAGGTTCCAGCAGCTGTCATTCTCACTGAATTTCTAATCCAATTAATAGATGTTAATTTTAATATGGTTTAATGGGACACTGCCAATTATTTCTAGGCACAAAACTGGATATTTTGTATTTAATATGTGTTACAAAAAAGCAAATACACAATAGTAAATCTTTTTTGGTTTTTTTTTTCAATGTTGCAGTTTCAGGAAGAATGGCTAATTTTTCAGCATTAACCTGGAACACGCTGGGAACCCAAAGAGTAACATCTTCTTAGAAGACAAAAATCAGATGATTTCCAATAGAAATTATACTGGCTATATGTGCATTTGTGAAGCCTGTGAAATATAAAAAAATTTAAAAAGACTTTCAATAGTCATTACTTGTGGTTCAAATTCAGAGAGCTTTAGAAGTCAAACATGTTCAGGTTTAAACTCGAGTTTTGCGCTGACCCCCACAGTGGTTTGTCGTCTAATCGACAAAATGGGGACAATCACAATTATCTCAGAGGAGGGTTTTAAGATACTTTCTGTAAAGAAATGTCCCACAGAGGTGGACATTCAATAACAGGTAGCTATTATTTACTAGGGGACCCTGGTGCGGTGCAATAGGATAAGTACAGGACTGCTAACCACAAGTTTGGCAGCTGCTCATCAGAAACCATATACAACAGGATCACTAAGAGTCGGAACTGACTTGATAGCACTTAATGACAACAATTATTTATTATGTGGCAATATGCAATGAAAATGTGGCCTTACATTTTTGAAATAATGACAATATGCTTTCTAAATATATTCTTATAATTGTGTTTTATTTTAGATTGGACTCTTGCTTTCTCCAGAATATCTCAAACTCAAATTATATGTCAATATCATTTTATTACTGTTTTCAGAACACGTATCTGATGTTTTATAATGACTAGGAAAAGTAAGAAATGTCAGTTGCTCAACAAATAGAATTTTTTTGAGATGAAACTTTACCCAAGCTATATCATTTTAATAACCAAGGACAGAGAAAGTAAACAATCAAAAATAAAAAAAAGAATTAAGAATAGAATTTTAAAAGCTTATTAACCCATCTACTAATATGTTATTGCAACTTCTGGATAGAAAACGAAAGGGAGGAAGACAAAGAGAGATCTTAAAAAAAAAAAAAATCAATATTTAATATAGATACTCTCCCACCTTTGAGTTCTTACAAAAAACAATTTTGAAATAAAAGGTTATGGGTCATAAAATTATTAAAATCTGTCTTGGAAGATGGATGAGCTGTAGAGAGATATCGAAGGTCCATGTTAAATATGTTCTCAAAAAGAAAAGAAACAATTAATTATTTGACCTTACATATCAAGGGAAACATCAGGAGGGAATATTTCCTCTGTATAGTTGGGAAAGGAAGTGAATTCTAGTGGAGATACAGTGGAGAGATGCAAATGTTTGTTTGAATATGTCAAATGTTGGCTGAACTATCATTTTGTTGATTCTGTTGGGGTTAGTTAGCCAAATTCTCTCCTAGCAATTCTGTTATAAAAATAATCTAGGAGAACCATAGACTGAACTTCCTCATATTAAAAGACATTTAAAGTAAAACAAACAAGATTACTTACCATTATCTATGCATTTCTTTCGATAATTCGAAAGTATACTATCTTGTTCTGGAATATGTTTAGGAGTGCGGTGATGTCAGAAACTCGAAGTTCACGATCTTTCTTTTCTGTTGTCTGCTATAGAAAATCCAGGTTCTATAACCTGGCATTCAAAGCCTCCCTTATCTAATCTTATCACCACCTTCCCTTCTACTTCCCTTAATGCATTCTATAATTTAGTCAAGTTGAGTACCTCATTTGTCTCAAAAGGTACTGTGTATTTAAAATAAAACAAAACAAAATGTTCTGGGAAAATGCTCCTTATTTTAATCTCTCTTAAGACGTACTCACCATTAAGTAATCAGAGAGAGAGAATCATATTAAGGGCCCAATAATGAATTACATTCATCTCAGTCCACAATCTTTCTTCCCATATTTCCTACCTTCTCAGCCCTATGCCTAAAAGGATTTGCTGAGATTCCAGAAAACTGCCAACTATAGCTGAAACACATAGGATCACCAAATGATAAACACTCAATCATTCCCTTCACTCCTTCAAAAAATGTTAAAAGCTGGTGGAGAAAATACAAGTCTCCATTACCTAGGAAAGTATGTATAGCATATGAGTATATTTTATTATTTTTTTAAAATTATTATTGGATATGAAGAATGAATTTCAGAAAAACATAGCGCATGTTTTGTTTGACTAACCATGGATATCCATTGTTGTCAATGCTAAGTGCCGTCGAATTAGTTCAGACCCACAGCTACCTCGTGTAGGGTTTCCGAGGAGAAGCTGGTGGATTTGAACTGCTGACCTCGTGGTTCGTAGTCCAGCACTGATTCTACAGTACCACACTCCCTATTAATGCTGAAATAGAATCCATGAAAGCCCAGTGTTGTCGTTTGTCATTTGTACTTCTGGTCTGGTTAATTCGGAGAAGGGTTTTGGAAAGGTTTTCGAGCAAATGTCCCCCATATTATGACTGCCTGTTTTGAAGTGGCCTTCTCTTAACATCTCTACCCATAAGTATCCTGTTTGTATTTCAGGGGCACAACAGGGATTACTCTTAACATTATTTCTCTTGTGATCCAACACATTTGCTACTATTTTATACACCAAACAGATTGTGGTCTAGTAGACTCCAACTCATAGTAACTTTGAAGGACAGAGTAGAACTGCCCCGTAGTGGTTCCGAAGCTGTAATCTTTACAGAAACAGACTGCCACACAGTTCTCCTACAAAGCAGTTACTTGGTGGGTTTGAACTGCCGACCTTTGGGATAGCAACTGCATGCTTAATGTAATATCTGAAAGTAGATCTTGGTCATATCTATTGTTATACCCTCCTGCCCTCTTCCTTCATCTTCTCTACTTCCCAATCTCAAAGCCTTACTAAGTCTTCCATTAATTTCTAGTGTGGTGCTGTGGGTTAATGCGCCAGACTACAAAGCCGTTTGAACTGCAAGGTCAGCGGTTCATGTTCACCAGCTGCTCCTCGGAAACCTTATACAGAGTCGCTATAAGTCAGAATTGACTCACTGGCACTTCACAACAACTTAAATGCTCGAAGGCCTTAATGTGTGGATAAAGGAAGAAATGAACAAATGAGTTAATGAAGACTACAAGGACCTTTTATTTTCATTTCAGGTTTAGTACCAAGTATTAATGAGCCCTTGTGGCAAAGTGGTTTAGATTTCGGCTGCTAACTGAAAGGTCAGCAGTTCAAACCCACCAGCTGCTTCTGTGGGAGATAGATGTGGTAGTTGTTGTTGTTAGTGCCATCGAGTCAATTCCGACCCATAGCAACCCTGTATAGGGTTTCCAAGGGGCAGCTGGTGAGCTTGAACTACCGATCTTGTAGTTCAAATGACTTTGCAGTCTGACACATTAGCCCACAGAGCTACACCAGGATTCCAGATGTGGTAGTATGCTTCCGTAAAATTGCTGCTATTATTGTTAAGTACCATGGAGTTGGTTTTGACTCGCAGTGACCCTGTATTGAGTTTCTGAGGCTTTAAATCTTTTGCAGGAGCAGAAAGCTTCATCTTTTTCCCACGGAGCAGCTAGTGGGCTTAAACCACCAACCTTATGGTTCACAGTCCACTGTTTATCCTTTGGTGCAATTGTGCTCATTCCCATGGCTCAATTTTCAGCCAAACAGTAGATAAGTCTATAAATGGGGAAATAATACTAGTGAGGTATGCACACCTTAGGTTAATCAGCCATTTGAGACCAAAAGGGCAGCCTTAACCCAAGGACAAAGTTCAGAAGGGTTAAGAAAAAAAAAGACTAGGAAGGAAACAAGAAACCCAGGGAGGAAGTGGGACAAGGGATATCACACTGAGGGGATTGCAATCAATGAGATGAAACAAAAGGTATATGAATCTGTTCATCAGTTTTTCTCATAGTAAACCTTCACTCCATTCCCAAAAACTGTTTTAAAAAATAAAATTTGATGTTCTGCTTTGTAAACCACCCATATTTCACAAGAAAAAGTTTTGTTTTGTTTTGTTTTTAAAAGAAAAGAATATCACGCGTTCAGTTCTAGAAAAAAACACTAAGTGTCTTTCTAATTCAGGCCTTCTTTCAATAGGTATTTCTTCTCCCTAAGAATGCCTCTCATTTCTTGTCTGATTAGCATCATCTCACAGTCCTTGTCAAGTATATAAGATTCCTCTAGAACCTTGCCCCGCTCTCCAGTCTAAATTAGCTCCTCCTGTTATACTTTTCTGTAGCACATTTTTCTTTTAGTCCATATGTTTTAAATCTCATGAATATACATACATAGACCTGTATGTATATTGTGGTGGAACAGTGGTTTAAGTCCTAAGTTGCTAACCAAAAGATCAGTAGTTCAAACTTAACAGCTACTCTGTGGCAGAAAAATGTGGCAGTCTGCTTCTGTAAAAATCATAGCCTTAGAAACCCTGTTGTTATTAAGTGCCGTTGAGCCGGTTCCAAGGAGCTGCTGGTGAGCTTGAACTGCCGACCTTATGGGTCAAACCAACTTTGCAGTCCAGTGCATTAGCCAGGATTCCTTGGAAACACTGTTATTGTTGTTGTTAAGTGCTGTCGAGTCGGTTCCGACCCATTCTGACTCATAGCGACAGGATTTCCGAGGCTGTAAATCTTTATGGGAGCACAACGCCTTATCTTTCCCCAGAGCGGCTGATAGTTTCGAACTGCTGGCCTTAAGGTTCGCTGCCCGATTCGTAACCACTACACTACCAGGGGAAT